GCATTTATTAAACCTAGTTACATCTCTATTGTGCTTACTATAGTACATTGTGTAAGGTGCATAATGGAAAGAAGGCTGGCCTCAGGGTCAGTAAACTCTGGGTTGAATACAAAGGTATATACATATTAGTGTCTAATGGCAGCCATCTCTAGGGAAGGGTAGGGAAGGGCAGAAAAAATAAATTCACATGATAAATTTATTATATAGTTAAAAGGAATAGCAAGTTGTACACAATAGGTTTGCAATTTGCAATAGATTTTTATTATACTATGTCATGGAAATGTTTTATTCCATAAATTAAAAATAAAATAAATAAAATAAAAAACTCCTACTTTTAACAGAACCTGACTATATAACGCTCTATAAGGCTCTTCACCTCTCAGTACCTTAGATCAGTGGTATCAAAGTTAAATAGAAATGGGGACCCTGAACTGTACAGAAGGATCACTGCATGTGCTCATTAACTTAAAAAGCCACATGTTAATGCTATCTTGTGTTTTATTGTACTTTTATTTATTTTGTTAAATATTTACCAATTACATTTGATCTGGTTTTGTGGGCTGCCTGGTGACCTAGGCGAGGGTTTGACACTTCTGCCTTAGACTATTTCTTAAGATGGGGTAGGGAACCTGTGGACTGGAGGGCACATCTGGCCTTCTAGGTACTTGGGTGCTGCCTTTTGACTGAGCACAAGTTTTACAGAACAAATCCTTTTCTTAAAGGGATTTGTTCTGTGAAGTTTGGAATTGGTCAAACAGGCCACACTTGAGGACCCTAGAGGGCCACATGTGATCTTCTGGATTTAAGTTCCCCACCCCTGCCCTAAGACAATAAGTTGTCTTATCGAATGGTTGTCAATCTTCGTAGATGAAAGGAATCTTTATTTGCCACAAGAACTTCCTTGAACTCTTTGCCTAAGTATGGATCAAAAAGGAACCAAAAATGTGTACAAAACTTTGCTAGAGAGGTGTTCCTACCCTTCCAAACCCCCTCTCCCACAATAATAGTACATGCCCTCAAGGAAGTTATATTTAATAGAATATAAGTGCATGAGAAAGACTGCTAAATCTAAGATTGAACCATCATTTTGAATTCTTTCAATCAGCCTAATTACAGGGAAAAAATTAATACCCCACCTTCTCCAACAACAGCATCTACATAGTGCAATAGTAAATAGAGTACTGGGCCTGAAATCAGTCTGTGTTTAATCTGGCCTCAGACAGCTGTAGGACCCTCGGCAAGTCACTTAGCCCTGTTTGCCTCAGTTACCACTCCAGTAGCGTCACGAAGAAAATCCCAGTTGGGGTCACAAAGAGTCAGACAAGACTGAAATAAATGAACAACAGCAAAAACAAAATCACCCAGAAGTTCCTTTTTTACCTTTAAATTTCCCTTGTATTTGACTATCTGTTGCTCTTCCTCTTCTGTGAAGCACTTTAAAACTGTGTGCAAAGGATTCCCCAAAGGCTTTGTGCTGGAGAGCTATGTCTAGGGTAGAATGTAGAGCTAATTAGGTGAGGCAAACAGAATGCAGAGATTAGCATAAAGTACAGTTAACCATGTCTGCCATATGTTCTACTGCACTTTCTTACTGGAGATGGAGAAATGATTATAGAGTAACTTCATGTTCTACTTTGGCTATAATTTACATAAGAGCCAGTATGCTGAGATGATGCTAATAGCCTGAGACAAACCTTCAGAACTAATGAAAGCCATAGCCCAGAATTACACACCTAATACCTTAGCACAATAGAAATCAGTAGGATAATATTAGGGGGTAGTCGCATACTTCACCTGAATCTTGTCCCGTTTTTCAAGGTTACCCCAAGCACTAAAATACTACTTAGATATTATTTCCTAGTTAGACATGCTATTTCAGTGAAATTGATTTTTCATGGATTATCTTCTATTGTGAGTCAATCACAGTTGTGTATTATTGCTATGCAATTACTGAGATGGCTTGATTTTGAAAAAATGCCTAATATTACAGTTTGTAATAGGCAAGTCATTGTATGTTTCAAACATATATACATATTTTGCATGGACTGTATTTTCTATAATTTATTCAAAAATTTTATTGCTTTCAATACCTGATTAACACAGAAATAATCCAGGGACTTACTTCATGTTCCAGTTTTTGTGGGTGTGTTTGGTGTCCTTGTCTATTGTATTCTTTCTGAAGATACCTCCCAATTATACTATTCCTCCTGGCAATAATAATGTCCAACATTTATAAAAAACTGGAAGGTTGGCAAAAACTTTATATATAAATCTAATTTGCATTATATGACCTCTAAAATCTCTTTCCAACTTTGAAACAACTTTGATCCTCAAAATAACTTTGCAAGGTAGTTACTACTACTACTGTCCCCACTTTATAGATGAGGAAACTGAGGCTTAGACAAATGGAATGACCTGTTCAGGGTCACTCTGGACTCCAAATCAGACATGATATCCACTACTCTATTGTTTTTTTTTCAATAAAATTCCAAATGTAAAAATAATATTACAAGAAGGTGGTGCCATGAAATAAGTGGCAGAGGAAGTTTAAAAGGAAATTTTAAATTAAAGATTTTTAACCATTTTTTTTTGCATCATGGATCCCTTAGGAAGACTGACAAAACCTTGGGATCCATTTTCTGAATAATGTTGTCAAATGTCAACAACAAAATTAGGACAGTAATGCAAAGGAAACAATTATCAATATCAATTTAAATCGATTATCTATCTGTCTACCTATCTTCCTCTCTCTTTCTCTCTTTCTCTTACACACACACACACACACACACACACACACACACACATTTAGGTAAAGGACCTCTGCTTTCAATGAGAATATAATTTGATTTCTGGATCTTTTTTTAAAAGTGCATTTACCTCAGATCAGTAGAATGTAAGCTCCTATAGGCCAAGGGCCAGTTTTGTCTTTGTATCCGTATTTCCTAGCATACAAACAGTGCTCAGTAGATGCCTGTTGAATTGAATTGAAATGATGCTTTATATTATATTCCTGAAGATACACCCATCTTCACAGGAATGTTCCTTGTCACTGATGTTAAAATTAGTAGCTTTTCAGTATTTTTAAACTATTAATATTCATCTGTTTGAACTTGACATTCCATTCCCTTAGTACCTTGCCTTTGGCAAACTGTACTCCCAGTCTGGTGTTCTCTTTCCTTACCCCTGAAAGGAATGAAAGGGATTGGAATGTATGTTGAGTCAGGATATAGGAAATAACTTAAAATATTTGAATTAGGAACAAAGAAGTCATCATAATCATAATAAAAGTCACTGCAGCATTGTGGACTATGGTAGATTCATTGTTAGTGAAAACTTGGTAAATAAGCCACCTTTAGCTTGCTGTGAGTCCATTCTAAGTCATTTAACCTCTCTGAATCCTACTTTCTCCATCTCTAAAATAGAAATGATACTATTCATAGTAACTATCTCATGGTATTGTTGTTAAGCTTGAATGGCTTCATGTAGATAATGAGCTTTGCAAAACCTAAAGTGTTAGAAATGCCAGTCATTGTTACAGGCTTAACTAAATTTATCACCAGATTGACTCCAGGGTAATGACTTTTTTCATTCACATCAAATCATTTCAAATGAGGAATTATAGAGAAATGGAATAATGCATAGTGCTAGAGAAATATATGAGCAAAAATGAAGATGGCCTGGTCATGTGTTAATAGCGAGGAATTCCCATTGGATAGCTCCTTTGCTCCATTTGTGTCTTCATATCAAGACAGCAGGAAGGTCTCCGAAACATTGAGTCTAACTCTTCTGGCAAATTGAAGGAAGGATCATTGATGTAGAGGGAGAAGAGATGTTGGAAGTCATCCAACCCAATCTCCTCCTTTTTGAGATGAGGAAGCTGAAGTCCTGAGAAATTAAATGGCATGCCCAGTCAAGCCAAGACTTCATGATTCTAACTGCACTCCCATTGACTTGGAGAAGCATGGAGTAAGATGCCTAGCCATGCCTACGTTGTGCTCTGCCTTGTTGGTTGTGGAACCAACATTGATGAGATCATTGAATCATTACAGTGCTTGAATACTGAGTATCAACTAAAGTTACCATGTACCAAGGTGTGGAAGGTGGTAGTCAAAGGAGTACCCAAAACTAGTGAAATCATATACCCTTATGATTCAAAGCATCACTGAGACATTGCTAATGGTTCTTTGAATACTTGGGAAGGCTTTTTAGAAGAAAACCATGTCTTTTATATAATGTCCCTTAACATTCTCTGGTCAGGCTTGGTATATATTCAGCTAAATCTGATAGGTTTATCAGCAAAAATTGATCTTATATCTCACTTATGCTAAGCACAGTGCTAGGCACTAAGTGAGGCATAAAGAAATAAGGAATAATGTCCTTGCTCCTAAGGGTCTTTCAGGCTAGCTAGCTAAGGCAGATAAAGGAACACACACACACACACACACACACACACACACACACACACACACAAGAAAGATTTCATACAATCATAACTTTAGACATGCAAGGAACATCGCAGACTAGCTAGTCCAAACCTTCTATTTTTATAAATAAATAAACCAAGACCCAAGGACTCTAAATAGCTTACCAAAAGTCATGCAAGTAGCTACCACCAGACTTGGTCCCATTCTTCTAACTCCAGAGTCAGTCATCTTTCTACTGTATAACTTTCAAATTCAATAGTAACGGCAAATTACAAATATTTACTGAATCATATAGAGATAGATAAAGAAGCTATTATACCATAGAAATATAGAAATTAGCAATAGAATGTGGGGAATTATAACTTGTTTCAACTCACTTGATTATTTTTAATAGCATTTTCTTTGTCCCAATTACATGTAAAGACAATTTTTAACATTCTTTTAGGAATAATATTTTATTTTTTCCCAGTTACATGTCAAGAAAATTTTAGTGTTCATTTTTACAAGGTTTTAAGTTCCAAATTTTTCTCTCTCCCTCCCTTCCCTCCCCTCTTCTGTAAATGGCAGTCAGTTTGTTGTGGTTTGTACATGTGCTATCATGGAAAATATTTCCATATTTGTCACAATTGTGAGAGAAAAACAGCAAAAGGAGAAAGAATAAAGTAAGTGAAAAAAAATGCTTTCATGTACATTCAGTCCATCAGCTCTTTACCTGGGTGTGGATAGTATTTTCCTTCATGAGTCCTTTGTACTTGTCTTGGATCATTGTGCTGCTGAGAATTAGAAATACCCATAAGGTATTTTACATTTTTTTCCATTTTTAAATTCTTTTTAATTTGCTTAATTGATTCTTGATGTCTCGTAGTTATTAACTTCCATTTGCCCAATTCTTACTTTTAATGTGTTGTTTTCCTCAATTAGCTTTTGCACTTTCTTTTCCATTTGGTCACTTGTACTCTTTAAGGAGCTGTTTTTCTTCAGTGGATTTTTGTATCTACTTTTCCATTTGGCAAATTCTACTTTTAAGTAGTTTTTCAAGCTATTGACTCTTTTGCCATAATTCTTTTGCATTACTATCATTTCTTTTTCCATTTTTTCTTCAAGCTCTCACATGATTTTTAAGCTTCTTTTTTACCTCTTTCATGAGTTCTTTCTGGTCTTGAGACAACTTCCTGTTTTAATTTGGGGTTTTATTTGGACATTTTTGTCCTCCTCTGAATTGTGTCTTGGTCTACCCTGTCACCATAATAACTTTCTATGGTCAGACTCCTTTTATGTTGTTTTTTTGTTCATTCTTTTTTTGAGGGGGGTTATTAAATGCTTACTATGTGCCAACCATTGTACCAAGCGCTTCACAAACCATATCTTATTTGACCCTCACAAAAATCCTGGGAGGTAAGTACCATCATTATTCCCCTTTTACACTTAAGGAAACTAAGGCAGAGGTTAAGTGACTTAGCCAAGGCCACACAGCCAACAGAGTGTGTTATGTTGGATTTGAACTCAGGTCTTTTTGACTCAAGGCACAGTGCTCTTATTTACTGTGCCACATAGCTGTCTCTAGGAGAACATAAGTAAGCGACATTGTCAAGGTAGAAATGACAAGATTTGGCAAGAGAGAGGTGAAAGAGAGAAAGAAGTCAAGAAGAATACCTAGGATGCCGGCCTGAGTGACAGGGATGATAGCAGCATGTTTGGCAGTAATAGAAAATTTTGGAAGAAGAAAGGGTTTTGGGGAAAAGACAATAAGTTTTGTTTTGGAGTTGTCAAGTTTAAGATGTCCAATACTCAGCTAATGATATGAGAGTAGAGGTCAGAAGAAAAGCTAGGATTGGATAAATGGATCTAAGAATTATTTACAATTACATAATGGGCACCTATTATGTTCTATAGCTTTGTGGTTTAGATCTTAAAAAGCTTAAGAGTCTTATTGATGAAACATAATTCCTTTTCAATGAGGGGGATGAATCTCTCTGTCTCTGTCTCTGTCTCTCCTCTATAGTGTATATATGTGTGTGTGTAATATTGTATGCATTATCTGATGTGGTAATTGTGTGTGTGTGTGTGTGTGTGTGTGTATATATATATATATACATATACATATACATATATACATATATATATACACACACACACACACACACACACACACATATATATGTATATGTTCCATGGCTATTGTGGTACTTTGGGAAATAATTGTTCTGAAACAAAACACATCAATAAATACCTTTTTAATACATATACACACATATAATGCATATTTAGGTTGAGAAACTATAGTTTGGTAAGCCAATCAAACACACCTAAGACAACTGTGTATACAATATTCACAAGAAATAGTTTTGGGGAGTTACTAAACAAAGTTCTATCTACGTCTTAGGAGGGGAAGGTCATTAGCAGATCAAAGAAGACTTCGTGGAAGAGATGGAATTATAGGCAGAGAGAATAGCATATATAAAGCAACTGAAAGAGGAGATTACACGTTCCATTCAGGGATCCAATTTGATTGGAGCAGAAATCATTGTAAGAAATAGGAAATTGTGAAAGAAAAGTAGTGTAGTGTTAGATTGTGGAGAACATTGAATAAGTGGTAAAGAAGTTAAAACTTTCCTCAGTAGGCAATAGGAGAGCCATTCAAGACTTTTGAACAAAGGAGTGACATTAGCTAATGTATGCGCAAGGAATCATGATCATTCTCACAGTGCTATGAAGGATAGACTTTGCAGGTAGAGAAAGTGGAGGAAGGCCTATTTGGAGGTTATTGAAATTTCCTATATGGATTATAATGTGGGCTTGGACTAGAGCAGTGTCAGTGGAAATGGGGGTGGTGGTGGAAGCTCAGATGGAAAAAATTAGGAGGTAGAATGGATAAGACATTAATTTGTTGGATAGGAGGTATGAGGAAGAATAAGAGAAATCAAAGATATTCTGAAGGTAATGATCTCAGAAGTGAGGGTGAGGGATGGGCCTTAGATTTAGAGACTGAAAGATGGAAAAGAATTCTGAGTTGATTTAGTCCACTCCTCTTGTTTACAAAGAAGGTTAATGAGACAGTGCAGTGAAGCTTTTTGCCCAAGGTCGCATTGGGAGTGACAGAAGGAGGAGTCAAATCTAGGTCTTTTGACTTCCAACTTGGCCCTCTTTCAGCTGTACTGTGTGCCTCCTAAGGAGGTACAAATTTAGAAAATAATAAACTCCATTTCAGCAGAATACTAAGCTTAGGAGATTTTGAAGGCATCTATCGTCAAAACAGCTTGATTCCATTTATAGACAAATGTTAGTTACTACACCATGTTTGATCCCCCTAGACCTGGTGTTCTAGCTCTGAAGGAGGGTGATTTCACAGATTATCACACAATTTAAAAACAAGGAAGGATCTCACAAATCATCTACCTTAGGTTCCTCATTTTGGAATGAAGGAAACAGATATTTGTGCAAACAGTGTAAGATTGTGCCAAGGCTAGGGGTACACCTGATTGAGGCCTAGAAGGAAAGCAATCAGAGTGGAAAGAGTCAACAGGCCTTTATTAAGTATTTACTACTGTGGCGCTTAAGCAAAGAAAGGCAAAAACAGTCCCTTAACCTCTAGGAGCATGCAATTTAATGGGGAGACAACATCAAAACTATTATGTACAAACAAGCCACACACAGAAAAAATAGAAGATAATCTGAGAGAGGAAGGCATTAGCAGCGGGGGTAGTGAGTAAGGCCTCCTACAGAAAGGCAAGACTTGAGCTGAAGGAAGCTAGGGAACTCAAGAGGCAGCAATGAGAGGGCAAACCATTTCAGGGAAGGGAAGAGCAGCCAGTGAAATGGCACAGAGACAAGGAGGTAACATCCTGTTTGAGGAATTTCAAGTAGGCCAAGGTCATTAGATTATAGACAGTGGAAGGGAATGAAGCATTAGAAGATTGAAGAGGTAGAAAAGGCCCAAGGCTTTAAATGTCCAACAGAGGAATTTATATTTGATCTAGATGAGGGTAATAAGGATCCACTAAATCTCATTGACATGGTCAGACCTATATTTTAGAAAAATCATTTTGACAACTGACTCTGAATTAGGGTGTGGAACAACTTGGGGTGAGGAGACCTCTTAGAAGGTTATTGAGGTAGCCTGGATAAAGGGTAATGAGGGTCTGAATTAAGGTGGTGACTATGGGATTGAAGAGGAGGACATACATAGAGAGGATGTGATATTATGAAGGTAGAAATGAAAGGATTTGGCAATGGATTAGACATGGGGTAAGGGTGAGAAGTTGGGGATAACATTAAGTTTGTAAACTGATGTGACTGGGGAGGATGTTCTCCATAGTAATAGGGAAAAATGTGCCAGTTTAAGACTAGATTTTATTTTGTTTTAAAATTTATTTTATTTATACTTATTATATGCATATGCACATATACACACATATACATATACACACATATACATATACACATGCATATATACACACATATAGTTGGACATGTTGTTTACCACATTAGAAAGTAAGCTCTTTTTTTCTTTTTGGGTGAAAGTAAGCTCTTTTAGGGAACTTTTTCATTCTCTTTTTTATTCCTTAGGTACTTAATAAATGCTTAATGATTAACTGATTTTAGTCAGGTTAAATTAGTAAATTTGTTACTCATTTACTGTATCTCTCAGAAAAGGAGAGACAGAGACAGAGAGAGACACACAGAAAATATATATATATATACTCACACACATATGTATGTGTACAGACATGTATATATGTGTACATATGCACATACATACACATAAATACATATATTTGTGCATATATTTATATTTATATACTCATGTACGTATTATTTTTTCATTTTAATAAATAATATATTTTTACTTAGAAAACACAAACATGTTTAGTGGAGTTTTTATCTCCTGGGACTTAGCAATCAAGTAGTGCTTTCATATAGGGAAAAGCTCACTAATAAGAGGACCCTCTATCTAGTGGTTCTTTGTAGAGTGTCTAGAACACAGTAGTCACTTAATAAATGCTTGCTTATTGACTGATGGCATTCCATTGGGAATTCCATTGCTAAGTATGGCTTACAAAGAGCTTTCCTCCCAACATCTTTGTGGGAAGGAGTGGTGTCACAACGGTGACAGCACTGGATTTGAAGTTAGCAGAGCTGGTTAGATAGTGCACCTCCCTTCCAGGGTTTTGTGAAGATTGAATGAGATAATGTTTGTCAAGTGACTGACACGTAGCAGGTGCTTCATGCCTACTTGTTCCTTACCCCTTCGCTTTCCTTCCTTGTTCAACTTTGGCCCCTTTATCTCCTTGTGCCTTAGTTTCTTCATTTGTAAAATGGGAGAAGGGAGGTTGAGGTAGATGATTTATAAGGTCAAATCTAGCTTTAAATTCTCTGACATCAATAGGACAATTACTGTCCCCATTTAACAATGAGAGCAAAATGAGGCTCAAAAAAGTTAACTGACTTTAGCATAGTTACCCAGCTTACATCAGATGGCCAGAGTCAAACATCCTGATTCCAACTCAGGAATCTTACTACTATACTCCACTGCCTGAAGATGATACACTGATTTCTATGAAGAAGTATTCTCAGGATTGACAGCAATACAAGTACTATTTATTAAGCATCTACTATATGCCTGGCTCTTTGTGACCCCATGGGGCCAAAGTATGCCAGGCCTGTCTATTCTCCACTGGTGATTTTTTTTTCATAGTCATCATCTTCATTGATAAAAACAAAAACAAACATTTCTCAAAGGCCCAGGATATACAGGGAATTTTGCCAAGTATTG